GCCCTTTGTGGGGCCCTCTTGTGTTTCCTGCTGCCAGAAACTTTTGGAAAGCCTTTACCAGAAACCATGGCACAAATGCAGCCGATATGCGGGTGAGCATACACTACAGCAAGTTGCACTACTCACATACTGCACGTCTACTCGTCAGTGTTTCTTTATACACGTCTCTACTACAGATGTAGTTCCAAGTCCTCTTGATCACATTAGATTCTGTATCATCATAGTTAAGGGGAAACTCTTTATACCACTCTCACTGATTTATTTTATCTTCAATGAAGAGCAAATAGATGTCGAAATTGGTTACTATATTGCTGTTATTTATATTTGTATGTAGTATATGTTGCACGTTTGAAAGCTTTGTGCTCTTTCACATGCAGCACAAGACTGTTTGTAGTGTCAGGACTCAGTAGAAATGTAAAGTCCAACATGACCTTTAATAGCACTGCTGTTAAATCTTGTTAATGTTTAAACAGGGGAAGACGGAAGAAAGCAAAGGAAGATGAAAATGGAGAGAGCGCGACTGATTATCAAAATAAAGAATCCAGGTTATAGTTGATTTGTATTTTTCTTTATACTCACATGATTGCTCAATAAGATGTTTTAAATAAAGTTACTTTTATCATTTATTGTGTGTAATTCAGTTTGATATATTATTGTATGAAATGTCCACCTAACTTATTGTGAAGCACGATGTCAAGCCATTTTTATAAATTGAACATTTTGACACAGGAAATTGAAGACTGCATTAAGATTGAGGAGCTTTGTGGTTGTGAAAGCATTCTCTTCAAATAGCCTTTATAAATGGTTAAGTATCAGATCTGTCAGGTTTGGGGAAATAGGACCCAAGTGCAGTTCAAAAATACAAAAAGGTTGTTAACAAAAAGTGGCTTTATTAACAAAAGCTGAAGGCATAAACAAGAAACTAATAAACAGAAACAAAACCGGGGAACACGACAGACAGGAACAAACTTACAGACGGGAACAGGCAGGAGACATGGACAAGCATAGACGACAGGTAGCAGGGACATGAAATGACGACGAACAGACATGGAGCACAGGGGGAAGACAAGACTAAATACACAGAAGGGTAATCACAGGACAAGACACAGCTGGACAGGGTAGGCAGAAACACAAGGGCAACAGGTGAACACAATGAGGCACAATCAGACACACCAGGGAAACTAACGACGGGAACAAAACACACGGAGTAGGATCAGACAAGACACAAAGAGGAAAACATTTCAAAACAAAACAGGAAACCAGAGACAGAAAAAGACAAGACAAAACACAACACAGACAGATCGTGACATTACCCCCCCCCCCTCAAGGGACGGATCCCAGACGTCCCAAAAAGTCCAAAAAATTCCAGCAGGGTGGGTGGAGGGGGTCTGGAGGACGGGTTTGGGCTGACAGCCCAGGGGCACAGCGGAGGACCCAGAAGGGGTCTCGGGCGGACGGCCCGGGGGCAAGGCAGAGATCAAGGAGGGGGTCTCGGGCGGACGGCCCGGGGTCAAGGCAGAGTTAAAAAAAGGGCGAAGACCACAGCGGGCGAACTCAGGGGGCCGGGCATGAGAGCAAAGGCAGCGGCTGAAAGAGTCAGGAGGCCGGGCTCGAGGGCGAAGGCCACGGCTGGGGAAATCAGGGGGCCGATCTCGAGGGCGAAGGCCCCGGCACTCAGGGGGCCGGGCTCGAGGGCGAAGGCAGCGGCTGGGGAAATCAGGGGGCCGGGCTCGAGGGCGAACAAGAAGGCGGCGACGGGACAACCCCGGAGGACGAGCAGGAAGATGCCGACGGGACAGCTCCGGAGGCCGGGCAGGAAGGCGCCGACGGGACAGCTCCGGAGGCCGGGCAGGAAGGCGCCGACGGGACAACTCCGGAGGCCGGGCAAGACCCAGTATCGGCCGGACAGGAACCAGAGCCGACGGGACAGGCGTAGACGGGATCCTGAACATGACATGGGCTGGTGTCAATGGGACCCCGGATGGAGCAAGGGCTGGTGTCGACTGGACCCCCAACGGAACAGGACACAGAGTTGGCAGGACCCCCGGCGGGACAGGTGTCGGCGGGACCCCCAACAGGACAGGATATGGTGTAGGCAGGAAACCCGGCGGAGCAGGTGTCGGCGGAACCCCCAACAGGACAGGATCTGGTGTAGGCAGGAAACCCGGCGGAGCAGGTGTCGGCGGAACCCCCAACAGGACAGGATCTGGTGTTGGCAGGAAACCCGGCGGAGCAGGTGTCGGCGGAACCCCCAACAGGACAGGATCTGGTGTTGGCAGGAAATCCGGCGGAGCAGGTGTCGGCGGGACCCCCAACAGGACAGGACATGGGGTTGGCAGGACCCACAGCGGAACAGGTGTCGGCAGGATCTCCAACGATACTGGACGTGGAGTTGGCAGGACCCTCAGCGGAACCCCCAACGGCACAGGACATAGGGTTGGCAGGACCCCCGGCAGCAGAGTAGTCGGCGGGACCCCCAATGGGACAGGACATGGAGTTGGCAAGACCCCCGGCAGGAGAGTAGTCGGCGGGACCCCCAACGGAACAGGACATAGGATTGGCAAGACCCCCGGCAGAAGAGTAGTCGGCGGGATCTCCAACGGCACAGGACATAGGGTTGGCAGGACCCCCGGCAGAAGAGTAGTCGGCGGGACCCCCAATGGGACAGGACATGGAGTTGGCAAGACCCCCGGCAGGAGAGTAGTCGGCGGGACCCCCAACGGAACAGGACATAGGATTGGCAAGACCCCCGGCAGAAGAGTAGTCGGCGGGACCTCCAACGGCACAGGACATAGGGTTGGCAGGACCCCCGGCAGAAGAGTAGTCGGCGGGACCCCCAATGGGACAGGACATGGAGTTGGCAAGACCCCCGGCAGAAGAGTAGTCGGCGGGACCCCCAATGGGACAGGACATGGAGTTGGCAAGACCCCCGGCAGGAGAGTAGTCGGCGGGACCTCCAACGGCACAGGACATAGGGTTGGCAGGACCCCCGGCAGAAGAGTAGTCGGCGGGACCTCCAACGGGACAGGACATGGGGTAGGCGTCGGCCGTAGAGCCAACAGGATACGGGGGGCTGGCGTCGGCCGGAGAGCCAACAGGAGACGAGGTGCTGGAGTCGGCCGGACCACCGACAGGACACGAGGGGCTGGAGTGGAATCCACAGGTGGATAGGAGGAGGCAGGAAATGCAGCAGAAGACGTCAGAGTTGAGACCTGAGCAGCAAGGTTTGAGATGTGTAGAGCCATGGACTGATTGCTTTCAACTAAGGCTCGCAACATCTGCTCATGTTGGCCCAGAAGATTTCCCTGATGAGAAATGGCGTGCTGGACCGGAACAGAGGCCGGAACCATGGTTGCTGGGGCCAGAACTGGGGCTGGAACCATGGCTGTATGGGCCGGTTCTGGAGCCGGAACCATGGCTGTGTGGGCCGGTTCTGGAGCCGGAACCATGGCTGCTGGGGCCAGAACTGGGGCTGGAACCATGGCTGCTGGGGCCAGAACTGGGGCTGGAACCATGGCTGCTGGGGCCAGAACTGGGGCTGGAACCATGGCTGCTGGGGCCACGGCTGGAATCCTGGCCTTGCGTCTCCTAGAGACCCTTTGGAGGCTCCGTGGACCTCCTAAGGCAAGGCGGGATCCCGAGAAGGGGTTTGAGGCTTGAGGCTGGCACTCAGGGCTGCTAGTAAAAAGTCTTAGCTTCTCAGGCAACAAGCTCCTAAGCCAGGGCTTGCTGTCAACCTCCCTGCGTGCCTCGTTAAGGGCAGCCTCTTTGGCCTCTCTGGATGAGGCCCTCCTCCAGTCATTGAAAATACATTCCAGATTGTATTTAAGCTCATAAAGCTCTTGGCTAAATGAAAAAACTGCTGGGTCCATACTGGTCTGTTCGTACTGTCAGGTTTGGGGAAATAGGACCCAAGTGCAGTTCAAAAATACAAAAAGGTTGTTAACAAAAAGTGGCTTTATTAACAAAAGCTGAAGGCATAAACAACAAGAAACTAATAAACAGAAACAAAACCGGGGAACACGACAGACAGGAACAAACTTACAGACGGGAACAGGCAGGAGACATGGACAAGCATAGACGACAGGTAGCAGGGACATGAAATGACGACGAACAGACATGGAGCACAGGGGGAAGACAAGACTAAATACACAGAAGGGTAATCACAGGACAAGACACAGCTGGACAGGGTAGGCAGAAACACAAGGGCAACAGGTGAACACAATGAGGCACAATCAGACACACCAGGGAAACTAACGACGGGAACAAAACACACGGAGTAGGATCAGACAAGACACAAAGAGGAAAACATTTCAAAACAAAACAGGAAACCAGAGACAGAAAAAGACAAGACAAAACACAACACAGACAGATCGTGACAAGATCACTGCATGGGAATCCATCATAACAAGATTCAATGAGACATAAAGATAATGCATGTTTTAGCACAGATGTTGCAGTCATGAAATATGTGTAGTCATCTCATTCATTCAGGTAGATTGATGCCAAGTCAAATATAATGCATTAGTCTTTAATTATATGACATCTCCTCTTGTTTATCAGCAAAAATCCAGTGGACACACATGTTTAACACCGGAGAGCCTATTTTGTGACTGCTGGTATTTATTCTTACAGTTTCCCCAAAAAATATGTGTTTTCACATTTACATTTACATTTAAAATGATGTAAAATAACATACACAAATTGCTAGAAATTACAATCATATTTTTATCAGTGCATCACCAGAGGCTGTTTTATAAAAGTAACGCTTAAGCTAATATAGCAGCCATTTAACAGTAAACTGGCGGCACCATGCTTTCACTTTTAAATGTTTTCATTCTATATTTTAATACAAATATCTGAATGAAAATAAAAACCTTTTGGTGTATCTCGCACTATCCTTTTTATTATATCTACACTATGCTTTAAATAGATAGGGGAAACACCATAAAGACGTGTCATCTGTTTCCGTGGAAGTTACACAGTCATTTCACTTTCAGTTCAGTGCAAACAGGACGCTTAGACATTTAAAAAGCGCTGTGCATTATTTTTTTACAATTGAATATAAGACAATCCGTGCATTTTTTTTGTTGTAAAAATGTTTAGTGGCACCGGCCACTGTGGAGTGAAGGGGATGTTGGTAACCGGACCTCAGCCTGGCTCAGCTGCTCTGAATAACGTTGCCCATTTCGCCTGAAGGCTTGACTAAAGTAAAAATGAAAGCAGTGCAGCACCAACCGCTGCTTCTTTGTTCCAGTTGAGTTATCCAACGTGTACCTCATTTCTAGATGGATCTTCCTTCAAAGCATCACCTCCATATGGAATAATGCGATGGCTGCTTAACTAAAGGTGAGTTTTCTGTTCTTTATTTAATCTAAAGTGTGAAAATTCGCCTTGTTGCCATATGGAAATATTTCATGTGTTATGATGTTTACAAAAAGCAAATAGCCTAATTCAATGTGATGTAAAAGGCATAGCAACACTGGATTGATAAACAATAGTGTTTACTGTTTACTTTACACTTCTTGAGTTTTTCTATTTTCTTCTCTTTTCAACAAAATCCTGTGTAAATGAGAAAGTGAAAGCGAGGAACGAAAACCAGATTATATGACAATGATTTACAGCATCAACTGCATCATCGTCTGTTTTATTTCTATTTTCTTTCTCTTCACATCTTTCTCTTAACTGCGACTTTATGACTCACTCTTAAACATTTTCGTTTTGATCGCACATATAAATTGTTTTACAAGATAACAGTGGCATATTTGAATATACGATATTTATGATTTATTACTATCAAAATGTTAACATGTGAAATCATTGTTTAATCATACCCATCTAAAGACAGGGAAATATTCTTATTTTACATGTATTTAAATATATACTCCCAGGCCAGGCCTCATTATTAATGCCATCTGCGTATTTGGTCAAAGTGGATTAAAACGCTGCTTCATCATTAGACGCTAGATGTCGCTAGCGTCTAATGATGGATGGACAACATCCAACGTACTCTTTTAGCCAAGCCTTTTATTTGTTTTTGTATTGTTTTGAATGAGCATTTAACATTTTCTCATCTATTTGTATCTGGTTGCTGATATTTGCACTTTGCACGCAGCCATTTTAACAAAAACGGTGGTGGGAAGTACATTTAAGATAATCATACTTTTATATGTACAGTTTGTGCAACTATATGGCTCTACTCCAATACATTTCAGAGAAAAATAATAACTCACCAGACATTGTTTACGATTGAACCAGTGGTTTGCATTTGCATGACTTATTCTTTCTCCACCAATACAAAATAAATTATCTCATTAAACATTCACAGTGTTTTTGTTGTGTGAACCACACAAAATGATACTTGCAGGGGTTTTTTGTAATACTGGATTTAATTCAAAACTACTTTTGACACTTTGTTAATTTGTTACTTTGCAAATATGCATGTAGGACAAAAAAGGAAACAGCAAATAAATGATAATCCAATTTTATATAGGTTGGAATAAGACTACTTTTTACGTCTCTAAATAATTGTTCCACTTTTACCAGTTGCAACATTAAAGTGATCTAAACATTAGTGCAACAATAATCATAATTGAATACCATTATTTTGTCTGTAATGGGCTATTTGGCGTTATGAGTACTTTTTGGTTAATTAAGTTTCCTTTTACTTAAGTAGAACTTGAGTCTTCCCCCTCAGTTTAACACCTCAATAATTTAACACCCTAGGGGTGACTAAGCTTGAAGCTACTTTTGATACTTTAGCACACTAATATACCTGTTAAAATTAAAGTCACGTTTTGTATTATAATGTATGTGTATGTCATTTTATACTCGGGGTTAATTAACTAAATCTATCAGATTTCATAAGTGTTCAGATACCATTGTTGTTGTACAGCTTTAGATAAACACTGTACCATGAACAACCACTAGATGGTGCCAAGGCCTTTAATATGAACACCATGAACTTGACTTCTCTTACCCTCTGTTGATGGCATGTGGAAAGGGAAGTAGGCTATCAGGTTTCATTGTTGATAACTGATAGGGTGCCTGACTTGTTTATTTACTTACCTTGAAACTTTACCTTCCTGCTGACCTGATCACATATATCTTTGGAATTTGCATATGTCTGTAGAAGAGTTGACCTTTATAGTTTACTATTACAATATATATATATATTTTTGTTATCACAATTACCCTGCAGAGCTGAATAAGAGTCATGGTTAACAGACAGGAAAGTCATCTTCTAAACTAGGGCAGTGACTTTTGAACTACTTTGAACCCTGCCGGCCTTTTATATAACAGGATTGCAGGAACCTTTGTTCTAAACAAGTATCACCACCATATATCATAAACGAAGATTGACTTAACCTATAAAAAACGTTCCCACAGAAAAAGCCCGCCAAATATAAAATAGAAGGTGACTTGTGAAGCGATTTGAGTTACAGCATACGGATGCTTGAGCTTTAGGTATGCATTCGTCTTGTTCCTTGGAATATGTTTTGATGTTTAATGCCTCTGTTATCATCAGTTACCAGACAAGATGTGTACTGTATCACAGTAAGGCAAGTAGATAACCCCCAATTCATTGTTGAGTTATAGCTATCAAAAGCAAGTTGGAAATTATTTTTCCTTTGCAATATGTTTTCTATGGGGTATAGTGGTTGATGCATTAAAGAGAACTGAATAAGTAATTGATTTTGTGTGCCATAGGACAGTTAAGTCAGCGAATAGCTGAAGAATCTAGGCAACAGAGTGGCCTGCTAGAAACTGGGAGACTCGAGGATTTCTTGTAAATCACGTGACTTACGAAAAGTCATTGGATGCCGTTTATCATCTGGCCATAGGGTGGTGCTGCTGGCAGGGGATGCTGATGCATTTCTAATAAACCGGCCTTGAGCTAGGAAATCTTCTTGGTTTCTAACCTCCACCATCCCTCCCTGCCTTTGCAGTTGCCGCTTTGAAAGAAACTACTGTAACTTTGCTTTTTCTGTCAATAGGGTCAGCAATTCAAAAGTTAATCAGTATCAAACCCTAATTGTCTAACAGCACCAGGCACCATAATGGGGGGGAATTCTCCTTGAAGGACCAAGACAAACCTGCCCCATGATCACCAATGTTTTTGCACAATGTGTGAGTGAAAAATAGTAATCACCCAGAATCCTAGGGTCTAATACCCAAGACCTTTGCATGCACATACGTCACATTTGATATGGCTTGATGGCAGTGTAAGTATTTTAGGAAAGTCTTTCACTATGTTTTGATTTGTAATGTTATCCTAAAATACAAGACAAGGACTATTACATAGTTCAAATATTAATTTATTCAGGAAATCAGTGTTTTATCCACCAAGAGTCAATGCCCCTGTTTAGCACAATGTTATACAGTATATCTGTTGAGGATATCATCCTGGCAACTTCCTGTCTTTTTGTGTTACAGACCACTTATCTCACACATCGCAACTGTGGTGATGCAGGAAACCCAACCCATCTGGCACTCTGGTGAGTCTAAAACAAGCACAAAGAATCATTTGCAAGTATGATTTGATCCAAATCTGATGAAAAGCATACTGTCATGTCTGCGCCTCTCCAGTATTTTTCTTCACAAAACAAGCAATTCAGCAAGTAGATACAAGGTTTTCAGTTCCCTGACAATACACAGAAACCCTCTACAATGACACTTTCCAGATGTTTTATATGATGCCATGGCTTCAGTCCACGATGTGCTTGGGCAGTTTTATGTCTCTTATCTGATGAAAGCAGACTTATTATATGGTAGTGGGAAATGCAGTTGATCCCTGTGCCGTTAATTTTCATCCTGCACTTACGACCTCTAACACTCACAGGTCACAGGTGGGAGTTTTGGCTTCAGGTTTGTTGTCTTAAACCAAAGGTGGTAGTTTAAAAAAGGCTTCCACACAGGTTTTTACAGTTTTGCTTACAAGCTGGAAATAGATCATGCACTTGTTTGCTTTAAGACAGTATTTTCCTAGAAGGAAGAAAAGTAGATGTGCTTTATGCTTGACCACCATTCATTTGTCAAATCCTTCATATTGGTGTGAAATGGTGCGGTCTGCCTTAAGAAAAAGGCTAACAACAAGGGTATACAGCGATAAGTAATAACATGAATAGAAGTTGCAGTTAAAGCCCTGGTAGCCTGAGGTTGAGATTAGCAGCCGGCACAAAAGCAACATCTGTAAAACATAAACGCCCACATAAATGCATGCTTTTCTTTAACAGATCTATAGAATGTTTTGAGCATGTCAGCCTGCATGTTTATCCCATGGATGTATAATAAGAGGTTTATCCTCACAACTATTTGTTGTCCTCCTGCTTCCTTGTTTTGATATGACCTTTGCAATTCATAGTGCCAACACATCTAGCCTGTGGCCACACCCACAGCAGATGGCATGGTAGCACACAGACAGATATGTACAGCGAAAAATGTTGATAAATTGATGATTTGGCTTACGTACAGTCAGATGTATCTCTTTAAGTGATAATGTCAAAACACCACATGCAGTATGCTATTATAAAAACGTGTTAAGGACCAACAGGAAAGAAGTTGAGGGAACACTTTATTGAGAGTTTCCTATGACACAAGACAAAGAGCTTGTCAACTCTGTTAAATAACACAAAGCACATTGCAGGGAATGACTGTAGCTCATTCCATGAGTGCTGTTGGGACCAGCAGCTGTGTCGGGGATCTGCTTACTCAGATAACTTTTGCACTAGGATTATGTGGCACTCAGACCTACAAAGCCCTGACATATATTACTGTATTTATGGGGATCAGTTTAGGGATTTTATGATCTTCTAGGGGCACAAGAAGGTCAAGGATTCCTATTAATCAGCCAGGACAGTTCAGTCTCTTATCTGCCATCTTAATTCACTCACTTATTTGTTCTCGCTTATTTACTGCAGGTCTTGGCCTGTACTTCACTTTAGGGCCGTAGATGTAAACACTAAACCCCCTGGCATCTGCAAGAAATTTAAGAAGTGACTTTCACAGGAAGCAACACCTGCGGCTAAACCGACACGTGTCTGTCATAATCAGAGCAAAAAAGCTTGTGCAGTGGGCTGTCATTTTTTTCTGCAGCCACGTTGCTATATTAGATTGGACAGCAATCCTACCGTGTAATAAGTCCACAAGAAAAATAAAGCATGTGATTCTGAAACTGTCCACAAACAAAAGAGTCCCAAACATTACGTTTGTGTATGAAACTGCAGCATGTTTCTCTTTATGGAACTGTTTTTGGGCTTTGCAATGCATTTGCACCTGTCGGCAACCGTAGAAATAGCCTAAAAAACCCACTGAAATAGTTGCATAGCCATTATAGCACTTAGTCAAGCAAAAATTATGTAATCTGATTATATATTTGTAGGCTAACATACAGCCAACACCTATTTCATGGCTCTGAATATCAAGTAAATGGTTCTTTGTGACATTTAATAAAACAAAAAAGTGAAGTTGTTATAGTTTGAATGCCAAATGCAATCATATGTACATAAAACCCTAAAAGTGAACTATCCCAATCAAGCAGAACTCACATGGAGCCAATTTCTGAGACCAATATATGAGGCATTTGTGTTGACATGATATTTAGCAGCAGCTTGATTCTTCTCCAACTACAAAGTTGTGTAACATTGTTTAAGGGAAACAGTCTGAAGAGGGAAGAAGTGGGAGTGGATGGATTTCAAACAGGAGACTGCAGTCTGTTTCCTGTTTGCTAACAACAATCATAGTTGTTTATTTCAGCCATTAACATGATCTTTCTTAAACTAGTATATTATGCAATGACAACAAAGGTCCCTAACGTTTATTGAGTAGTTATTTTATCCAAAACTGGATAAGTAATGATTTTTTGGATTTTAGCCCAGCCAGTTGTAGACATACACTCTGTAAAAAGGTGTGTTACTAGGAGACAATGTATTTACACGTTTAGGCTCAGAAAGACTATCTTTACTCATGATTTATGACAACATTTGCATGAGACCTTTAATGTTTGAGTCAGAAGTATGACTACACAAGAAGTCATCATCCAGAGCCTGCAGGGTTATATAAAATGCATCATTCAGTAGAGTGTGATTCTTATAATAAGAATATAGGTGTAGATAAGAGTCATCCCTGCAGTAGTCTGAAAAACACACGTGGTTGATGCCATCTGAGGCCTGGTTTGACCGGTTTATTTTTCTACTCTGTGTCATATTACGGGCACTGAGCCACCCTGCCATGGCACAGAACACTTTTTGGGATGGGGTGTGTGTGTGGGTGTGGGGTGCATGTTGGGCTGCGTGAGTTTGTGTTTGTGTGTAAGACAGAGGCAACAGGGTTCTACTATTTCTAGTAAGTCAGCTGACTTCATTAAACTGTCTCCTCCCTTTTATGGCTCTCTATCTCTCTCAAAGACTTGCCACCCTAAACACACACACACAAACACACACACACACACACACACACACACACACACACACACACACACACACACACACACACACACACACACACACATAGAAATAGAAATATGGCTTTAGTCTTTATAGAAAGTCAGCTGACTTATTTTCTCTCTCCCTCTATTTCTCTGACTCTCTTGCCCACACCTGGCAGGCGACTTGTTTTTAAAGGTTCTTTCATGAATGTTTACATGAATTAGGTCTTTGTTCAGCAGTAGTCCAGGGATTGTTCAGTACGTGTTCTGCATTAAAAAACATTATTAGCAAAAGTGCTTAAAGTGTCAAAAGTAATTAAGGTACTAAACTCAAAAAAGGGCCCATCTGTGAATATCCCATGAATACATTTCCTACTGTTGGATTATTATTGCTAAGCATTTAGTTAATGAAGGTGGTACAAATCCTTTATACTAATAGTTTTTCACTATTAGGTTGTATATCTGGAACAAATCTAGTATAGCTATTGTGATCATGTTTTGAGTGTAAACTAGCTTAATCTGAAAAGTAAACTATTAGCTGTAGCTGTCAAATGTCGCAGAATCTGGACCCTAAGATTCTACCTTTAACTCTAGTGAGGCAGGAGTTGACAGTTGCATAACATAGAAATACTTAAGTAAAGTAAAAATACCTTACATTATTTACTCAGAACAGCATGCATTACATAAAGCAGGAGTTATTAATGTGGTTCTTTCCAACATAAGTTAGCTTGTTGGTAAGCAGTTGCATGAATTTGGAGCGGGATGAGGGTTCAAGGTTCAAGGTTCAAGGTTATTTATTGTCAAACTAACATAGCTACAGAGTAATTATGTAGTTGAAAATCTTAGGTCACAGGCTTCTCCAACAATGCAACATAATAATACAGATAGTAAAAACCCTCAGAGTCTATGTGATGTCATCCAGTCGAATCCTTTCTTTGCCTTTTACAGATGCAAACAAAGGTAATGACACATATCAGACATTAAATCAGATACTAAGCTTGTGACTAACCCATTAAAAACATTTCAATTATTTGTAATTGTTTGAACTGTACACTGAATGCAACGGGAAAGCTAATTAAGCTATAATTGCAGGTGTTCTTACTCGTGTTTCCATTTTGGATAAGAGTTACCATAATCTAGACGGTATTAAGTAAAGACATAAATACTTTGAGTTTAGAGATGCTGTTGGAGCAATACATTGATTTAAATTATTTAATAGTTCACCATTTACTTTCAGGTTGTTTTGTTAATAGTACATGAATTGTTATTTAGTGTAATTATTTTAGGCCACCTGATGATTATGTATCTATTGGAGACAGGTGGTGTTGGGATTGGCGCACCAGAGAGGCCATATGAAGCTGGGGAAGCGACAGTGCAGGAGAATACGTTAAACCATTGTTCTTTATGATGTTGGGTTTATGGAATACAATAAAAACATACTGTATGCCCAAAAGGATATTCTTGTAAACGATTCCCTTACTGGTGCCCCAGCAGCAGTTTCATTTTGTTATATTTCCTTATAGTTTTCGCCGCTACAGATGCTTCTCAATTGATGACTGATTGATTCGGTCGTTTGTCAAAGCTCAGAATTGAAAAAAAGTTGGTAGCTTGTTACCGGTTGGCATGAAGCCACGGCCCACTTTTTCCATGATATGTTTTATTACTGTGATTACAAGGGAATAACTTTTCAAAGTGGGGCAAAGTTCACATACCAATGTATCCAAGGAAGTTTCAACATCAAATCCATAAACATGTAACACTCTTCTTACCCCTTATTCTATCTCAATAAGTATTTAGTCTGCAGGTTGACCTGGATTTCTAAACCGGTATCTGCACGTTCTCTAGCGATGTGTCGTTGTTCGGTGGGATAAATGAGAGGACCTGGCAGTGCAACTGAGCCATATAATAATTGAGAAATCGGGTTGATTATCTTAATGACACAGGATTCCTGTAAATCTCTTTCCCAGAGCACCTGTGTTTTCACACGTTAACACTTTCTTTCTTTTTGAACAAACAGGAAAATAAAATGCAAAACATATTTAACGAACTGCCTGTGCTAGGGATTGTTTTGCT